CGGTACCGAGCATGTACTGAGCGGTACCGAGCATGTACAATCTGATGAAGCGAGACATGAAGCAAATAACGGGAAGAAAGATCGTTACCTAGCCGTGAAAAAAGAACCTTCGATTACAGGAAGCTGGAGAAGAAGAAGCGAGACATGAAGCAAATGACTGGAAGATTACGGGAAGAAAGAGAAGAAGAAATAAATCGTTATCTTCGATCGCCTCCAGTTATGTTCGAACTCGACCGAACTGTGGTCGTCGAAGTCGACGGAGTTCGCCTTTCAGTTCTCACCCGAAGCAGAAGCAAGTATGTTACCCTAATACTCGACTCTTATACGACTCTCACCGCTCGGTCTATATACTTACAAATCGAAGCGGAGCCTCGTTTCGCTTTGAGGCGTTACGAACCGAAGCCTACGCCCTGTGCGAAATAAGCGCACGCTCCACCGAATCCAACGAGGCGTAAGCCTCAACGCGCAAATGCTTCGCCTCGCCTTGAGTCGCGTCTCAGTGCGTACGCCTCTTCCGCCTTTTTAATCGTTGATAAATATATAGCTTCCATAGTAGACCTACCCGTCATGAATCCAAATTGATTTTGAGAAACATTAAATCACGTCGAAACCGATGCTCCATAATTATCTCCCATAGTTTTAAAGTATGATACATTAACTTAATTCCTCTATAATTCGCACAATCTTGTGCATCACCTTTATTCTTAAAAAAAGGAATCAACAAACTCATTCTCCACTCATCTGACACATTTTTAGTCTTAAAAATAATATTTAAAATTTAGTAGGCCAAGAAATTCCTTCATCTCCTAAGCATTTCCACGCCTCTATTAGAATATCATCAGGTCCAACAACTTTTCCACACTTCATTTTCTTTAAAATCAAATCTAACTTCAGTTTTATGAATACTCCGAAAAAAATAAAAGACTATTTTCATTTAGGGTGCTAAGGTCACTATAGTCAATCATATTCTCATAATCTTCATTGAAAAGCTTAGCAAAATATCTCATCCACTTTTGTTGAACATCCTCTTCTAATAAAATCACTTTTTAATCTTCATCCTTAATGCACCTCACTTGAACTAAATCTTTATTAGTCATATCTCTTTGTTTGACTAACTTATATATATATATATATATATATATATATATCGCCCTCCTTAGTATGTAATATATTATATAAATTATTAAAAGCTAAAATCTCTGCATTGCATATTGCTTTCTTAGACTCCTTATGAGCCTCTTTATATCTATCCCAATTTTCAGAGTTTTACATCTAAACTAATATTTATAATAAAGATTCTTATTTTTATCTTTTCTTACACATTTTGATTCCACCACCAACTATTTTTTACTACTAGAAGTTTTTCCCTTTCATACTCCAAGCAGTTAAACTAATTTAAAATGATAGATTTATCTCATTGGGGGAGTGTTGAAAGATTGTGAGACCCACAAGTCCACTAATCTTAATAGGGATCCTTGAGCACATGGATTAAAAGTTCTAACGGTTGGATCGATCCTCTTATGGCCCTTAAATTGCAATCAGTGTGTCTTCTCTTCTTATTCTAGCTGCCAACCCCTCTTGAGGACTTATTTCATTTTTTTTAATAGTTTTGATTTACTTCCCTTATACGCCTTTTGAAGAAGTCCATAAATATCTCTGCACTTGCTATAAAATCAAGCAATAAAATTGGATGTGTCAGCAGTTTAAATGAATTTTGGATTTAAAAGAAGGATGTTATTAGTCATGGTAGAAAGGAAGAAGGCAGTGGAAGTGAGATAAATGCAAAAAGAAGAAAAAAAAATCTTCAAAAAGAATGATAACAAGTGCAACTTTATAGAAAATTGTTAAAAACATACACATATAGAAGAACATTCATCTTATACCAATTGATGATGTCCTGACCTGGCTCGGGAGCTTAGAGTAACGGGAAGCAATAGACAATCGGATGAAAGGCTTAAGCTCAACATGCATTCTCTAATTTCTACAATTTAAAACAAACTAAAATGACTTTTTCTTCTTTATCAAAAAAAGACTTTCAATATCATCAGAAGTGCTAGTAAATCAAAATTTTCATTCATGACAGAGGTACACAGAAAAAAGACGAGTTATAAGAAGTGATGAATGCATGCCTCAATGGGAAAGAGGTTAAAGAAAGAAATATAAAGAATATCAAAGAATATCATGGCCATGAACACGAGAGAGGAATTGATCCCGAGATAGGGTGCCAAGAGAAAAAAAAATTTATTCCATAATCATACTCTTAATTAACACCCTTAGCCTATCATACACAGTAACAATCATAATCTCATGAACAATCTAATTGAATAATGAAAAGAAAAATGCATACAACTGGATGGTTGCCAAAGCAATTTTCAAGATTTCCTATAAATGCATAATCTACATGTCAATAGTACTTGTATAAAATTTAATCCGTATCAGCATTCTCACATCAATTGATAGCTTTCTATGCTGATGGGTTTAATAATTGAAGCATTGACAAAAGTCGTTCTTCCTACAAGGATAAAATATAAAATTGGCGCTCCTTAACTCTAACAAAACTTTCAAGGAAATGATCTTCATCACAGTGGATAAAAAAAAAAAACAAACTAGCATAACAAAGAATATCAAATTATACTTCCGATACTTAAAAATTTAATGAGATAGTAAATCTCTTACAGAATGGTCTCATTTGAGTATAGTTGGCTTAAATAAGACCACAAATTTTACCCCACGTAGTGGGATAGAAGCTTGATATTGCTGTTGTAGTAAATCTCTTACAGAGTTACTCGATTCTAATACTTCAAGCTAAAATGAACCCATTTTTAACATGAGGTCCAGCACCCATGGGTCATAACCAATAGAGAAGAATACGCTAAAAAACCTAAAAAACTCAAAAGAACATTTAAACTAGAGAAGCTAACATCCACAACGAACATTAAAGAGGTTTGAATGCATGAAAAACTTAAACAGAAATGAAATTTTCCCGTTGATATTAAAATGCATCACTAAATGCAGGATTATATTACTTCTTTTCACAACATATGATTATAAGCAACTCGGGTTAGTAAATAGCCAAAGCAAAAGCTCACCACACAAGAAACTTTTGCAGATGAGTCAGGTCTCCCATCAGCTGGCCAAACCATTCTATGCAATGAATTTGTAGCCCAATGCGCTCCACTATCTACAGCACTTCTAGCAGATAGGAACACCAAATGCTTACCATCTGGACTGTAGAACAATAACTTCATAATTGTAAGTCTAAAGACAACGATAAAATTTAAGTAATCAGTTTACATACTAATGGATGCTAATGGGAAATGCTTATGCAGATTGATAAAGCCATAACATTTAGATTGTCAAAGCAGTTCAAAAACAAAGTGCATACAAGTTTCAGGGCGCAAGTTTTGCAAAAAATAACATTGAAGTTTTTCTAGAAGAGATGATTCAATGAGGAATGGCTGGAAACAAAAAGTAGTTAGTAATGGCTTAAGTGGTAGAGCAACCATAAGATGTGATTGAAGGATGAAAATAAAGTGATTCCTGGTCAAACAATATCTACACATTCAAGTGTAACCAAGGTGAATTATCTAAGTCCTGATCCTGCGCATGTTCATAGACTAGACTATCAACACCTAGAACTATAATGGCTACTAAACAAAATCGACTAAATCTCAGCATGGCTCTGGAAACAATCAAGAATGATTCTGATCTAGCAAACAAAATTGGTTTGATTCAGTAGATAAAAATGTCAAAGTTGTATAAACCCATGTTATTTATTACTTTATGATATGCTAAATGACAGTAAAGTGTTGTATATAGCCTTTCTGGTCTACAATCCATACTAATTTTAATTGAGATTTTGATAGAAAATTTTCAAACTGAAATCTTGATGAGAAATTCCCCTAAGTTAAAACTGAAGTAATTAATAAAGTTTCATATTATCTTCAGTATAATCATAATCTGCCCAACGCTTCTGAAATCCAGCAAAAGGAATATTTGATTAAAATTCAAATTGGATGTGCTTGAATCAGTTTTCTCATTGCCAAGTGATATTGAGCAGCATCCTTCAATAGGCAGTTTAAATAGTTGCAAAAAATATGGCCTAAGAAAAGTAACCTGAACTTGGGAAAGAATGCACTACTTAGATCAGCTGTCAAAATAATTGATCCTGCAGAATCTTCCAATTCTTTTGTCCTGAAAATGCCAAAGAACTGAAAGTTAATTTAATACATGATAAGAAGAGATGAAGGCTTCATTTGGGACAGTTTTTTTATTGCTTCTTAAAACCGTTTTAGTTAAAAAATTAAATTTTTTGTAAAATTTAATTTTTTAACTAAAACTCCTCAAAAATTTTAATTTTTTAACTAAAACTCCGTTTTAAGAAGCAATAAAAAAACTGTCCCAAACGAAGCCAAAAATCTCAAATTTGAGGTGGAAGAGGAAAATATTTTTCTGAGCTAATCAAATACCCACTCGATTACTGCTTTGTTATCATGTCCTCCAAAAGGAGCCCTGACTGCATACAAGCCACACGGCCTGTTGTAACAATATTTAATGCCAAGCTTCCTTGGAGTTTGCTGCGGACCATTTTCTGATGACCAGCCAACAAAAACTAAGAACTTCTCAGAGGCACTGGAAAATGAAGGAACCCAAACAACCTGCCCTACACTCAACGACTTTGAAATGCCCTTGACAATCTGTACCTCTCCACTGCATTCACAAAATTTTTAAATATGACAGGTTTATCAATGGTACAAATATGCATACATGATTTGACTAGCAGACATACATTGTACATGATTAAAACAATACCTACTAATTTGGAGAACGAATAATGTAGGCCTCCTTTTCTTCGAATAGGTTTCACCCCAGTCCTCTTCCCAATCTCCCTGACCGTTCCAGGTACCACTATCCTTGTTGAAAGGACCTTCTCCCTTGAAGCCAGAGTCATCAAACACCGGCTTTGGTAGAGCCGGCTCTTCTGCAACATATGCAATATGAGTTTCTTCAAAATTCCATGAAATTCCCTCAAACCTATCATACAAGTAAATTGACACCATATCAGCTGTTGATAAAGAGAATGACGAGCAGTATGCTTTCTACATGAAACAGAATATGACTTCTGTTAAAATAGAAATAATCATAGGATAGTGTTAAATCCCAGCCGTCCCTTGGCATTTTGATCCCACAGCTAGGATGGGAATCCGGGGGAGGCTCACCTATTAAATCTTAACCGTCCCTTGGCATTTTGATCCCACGGCTAAAATGGAAATCCGTGGAAACTTATACATATATCTTTCTCCCTCTTTAGTATCTAATCTATTATATAAATCACTAAAAGCTAATGCCTTTGCATCGCATATTGCTTTCTTAGCACTAGATCACGCTAATCTCCTTCAATATTTATATAGCTGATTTATGAAGGATTATATTAGAGAAAAAAAGCATTATTCTATAATTATTTGTTTCTTTATTAAGATATGTTGTATATCTATAAATAGGAACAAGTTTGTACAATAAAATTAAGTATTTTTTTCCTCTCTAATTCTCTAAATTTAATAGATAGTAGAAATAAACTTAAGAAATCTTCATCAGATGACTGAAGTAGACAATATATTACCATCCATCAACAAACAGTGAGCCATGAACAGATCGTGGAATCTGTATCGCTTTCTCCAGCTGTGCGGAACCCCAGATTTCAAGCTGTGTAGGCGCTTCATCTTCCTTATTACGAACAACTAGAAGCTTTGAACCTGAAGGTGAAGGAACAATTGCAGACACACCATCCATTTCAACCGGAAATGGGGACCATTGGAAATTTGTAGATTGGTTATTGGTCTTTACAATATGAGATGAAAGAATAAGTTTCCTCTTTTTGTTAGCCACAAAATTCATCTGACTGATCGAAAACATTGCCCGGGAACTGCCTCCTGCAGACAGTTTTTGCAGAAGAAGGAATAAATGAGACTAGAATAAAATGAATTATGTGAAACAAGAGACCAAATGAATATCAAATCGTTAGAACACAGATTCAAACAAATAGAATAAACGGTGAATAGAGTAAAACATGAAGCCAAATGAATATTTAATGGTTAGAACTTAAAAGGGAAAACAAAAAAACTCACAAAACAGGTTGTTAACACACCACTATCAGACTTAAAAATCCATGCCTTGTCAATGCTAGGAACTTTAGAAAATTCTTGAAGTAATTTAGCTTGAGAATCATATTCATGGACGGTAGTTTCATTGATTCCATGTGGCATGTCCTTCGCTGTAACATTCCCAGGTCCTTGCATAGCTACCGTTGCAGGTAACTTACAGCAAATGCTAGAAAAAAAACAAAATAAAATATCAGGAAACAGAAACTTCCATTCAAGTCAATGACAAACCACTGTAGATATGCAACTGCAAAAGAATTCAGACAACTCTATCAAGTTAAATAGCTTTTCTTGTCATGCTACATCAAAACGACTGCATCGCTACGAAAAACAGCAATTCATTGAAGCAAAATTGGCAGTATGAACATATAAATACGCACACAACCAACTCAAATCATCTTAGAACCAATTGAAGGAGCAAGCTTTTCAAATTCTTTTAATTTTACAATAAAAAACTCCAAATCCACATTTGTGTTTTTTTCTTGGTTATTTTGTAAATTATCTAGTATCTGGACAACTTAAAAATAATAACAATTAAGTAGCATAGGGGAAATTGGGTATAAATCCACATAAGTTTGAAAAGATGTTTTTTCCCTTAAGAAATGAAAATATAGCTCCCAACAAACCATGGGTTCAAACCAAAACCTGAATAAACTAAAAGCATCAAAATAAGTAAATTAGTTTGTCAAACATGGTAGAGCAAGCTAAATCAGAAAAATATAAGGTAGGTCTTACTCAACAACAACAACAACAACAAGCCTTTATCCCACTATGTGGGGTCGGCTACATGAATCCTTTTTCTCCATTGTGATCTATTAAAAGTCAAATTCTCGTTTAAATCTAATAGAGAAAAATCGTTTCTAATATTTTCTAACCAAGTCTTTTTAGGTCTGCCTCTACCTTTCTTAACATAAGTCAAATCTATTACGTCTACTTTCCTAACTAGGTCATCGGAAGGCCGCCGTTTTATGTGACCAAACAATCTAAGGCGACTCTCTCTAATCTTATCTTCTACTGGAGCTACTCCAACCTTTTCACGTATATGCTTATTTCGTATCCTATTTCTAAGGGTAAAGCCACTCATCCACCTAAGCATCCTCATCTCTACAACACTTAACTTAGTATTATGCTTCTCTTTTAATGGCCAACATTCGGCACCAAAAAGCATTGCAGGTCTTACTCATTGAGTAATATTATTTAAAGATGAAAAGAGAGAGAGACAGTGATGGAAAGAATAAGTGGATGTCCCAAGGACATCTCTCTCTCTCTCTCTCTCAATTTGATGTGTGTGACACTTACCCTATTTATGCCAACAATTTGATGTGTGTGACACTTACCCTATATTTACTCAACAAACCCAAAAGGCTTTTCACATGAAATCAAAACCTCCTGTTCTAAAACATAATGATAAATGGAAATACAAGTTTGCCAAATCACAAGAGAAAAAGGGCTTGATTCAATTCATTGATTTCCAATCCTCCCTAATTAAGAGTATATATACACTTACAAGCACTCATATGCACCTTACTACTACCTATGACTTACCTAAAAAAGACAACCCAACCCAATCTATCATTACAATTATTAACACTTGCATTAGCTACTAGACCACAACGAGTCATTAAACATCCCTATCACCTCCCAACACAACAGAGGGAAGTGATAAAAAATCTAAGTTCATCACATATAGGCTTCGTTTGGAACGGCTTTCTTGTTACTTCTTAAAGCAGCTTAAATTTTGTACTAGAAAGCTAAGCAGTAATGAAGCCATCCCAAACGAAGCCATAATCACTTGTTGCCAGCAGTTTCGCAAGTAATATGTTTTCAACTTAGCCTGCTATGAGACTTGTGACTTTATATACTGAATCCAAACTTTAAAATAATAGAGGGCTTAATAAGTGCCACTTATAAACAGAATTTATCACTTCATCATAGGATTCCCACTTCAGCAATTAAACCCTAATCGAATATTTAACAGACGGTTAAACATATCGACATTTTGCAACATAATGGCTACACAAGCCTCAGCGCAATAAACTCTGAGGCTCAATTCCGCATTTCGCGACGCTGAATACAAAACTATTATGAAGAAAAGGGACAGATCAACGATCGATATAAATGAGATGGCAATCAAAACCAGTGTAAATGCGTTTCTTTGGGGAGTGTAAAATGGTAAATCTGGACAACCAAAAATTTGAAATTTGAAGCTAAAGAGAAGAGCTTTACGAGTAGAAACGAAGGAGAGCCGAAGTCGAAAGCTTTCTCGATCGCCAAGCTTTCTCGATCGCCGGCGTGCACAAGGAGAAATTTTTACTTACTGTCCGCGAGTATGAAGACTTTCTCTCTCTGGTACACAAGCGAAAAGATAATATCTCAATCGTCTTCATCTAAATTCGAGTCAGGACGCCGTCCGGGTTCCCCCGTAATAATTTTTCATACGGAAGACTAGCCAAGTCGGCCTCCGAAGTGTACTCGTTGTTAGTGTAGGAGTAACTTTTTGGTCTGGATTCTAATCATCTTAATACAAATATTTTTATTTTTTCTTTCTCTTACAAATTTTATATATAAAGAAGAGAGAAATTCTTGTATTTTACATGATTGGAGTTCGAACTTAGTGCAAATTAAAATTTCAGTCCTTAGCTGGCCAATTATAATCGGTTCTATAATAATTGGACCACACACAAACCAGCAAGCAGCTACCCACTCCTTTCTTCTGCACGGTTCGCTCTCGTGCAAACTTAATGCCCTCACCCGCGATCTCTCCCTCCAATCGTGAGGATTACTTGATTCTTTCCCTAATTGATTGGAATCTCATGCCTATAGCATCCCTCTCATTTCATTTTACCAAATAGGAAGCTAGGGCATCGTGTATTCTTCTCTTTTCTCCCAGTAGAAACTGTTGAAATCCTCCCTCACTCATTTCTCGCACAGTCGCCTACAACAAGTTCTTCCTTCAATAGTGAGTTCAAGCTTCCTTTTTTCCCCTTCTCTTTCATTCGTTCTTCTTCTTTATTGCTGCCAACATATATAGTAGATGTCCTCTTGTTGTATGGTTTTTGCTAGATTTAATTTGTTGTTGCCTTGGTTCATTGCTATGATGGGTTTTAATTTATTTTCAAATGAGGACTTATTTTTTATTTGGTGTTCGATTTGATCAAATCCTAATTAGTTATTTATATATTTTTAGTTTGTATTATTTTCATGATTACTTTTGATGTTCATGTCGAGGTTAAGATTGATTAGGATATTCTTCATTATACCTCCATGAACATGCTTTAATGTTATTTTGATTTTGCTACTTATAGGATTGTCGCTTGATGGAGTCGAGCGAACCACTTTTGAGGTTGGAGTTTGTAACAACCACGATAATTAACTGTTAATTATTTTGGGCAAACGTACCCTTCTTTGTTTGAGTTGAATATGTGTCAATTATATTAGATCTCTTATAACTATTTAGATTGTCATTTCTATATTAACTTGTTTAGCATGGTCAAACAAGTAGTAAATATTCATTATTGCTCATAATAAATTAGAAAGTTTCATAAATACAGAATTCTTGATTTATTGCTACATAACTTCATGTAAATCAATTTTGTGTTTTCATGCACACTCTTATTTGAATGCAATAAATGTTATATTGGCATATCAATTGGTTTTATTTATTACAGTACATGATACTTCTGTTATAAATAATGTTGATTATATAAATTATAATTGTATGTTGAATTATATAACACATGTTGATCATTATTCTTAACATCACTTGCACTGTATGATTATGTGTATGTTGTTATAAGCCTATTAGTTTTTAGCTAGTCGGATCGACGAGCCCCTAGAGTGATGACTCTACAGAAAATCATTGGGTTTTCTTGGATTGATGTTTAACTTCTTGGTGATAGGTATATGATAAACTGACAATAGATATATAGGTTTAAATATAATATAAGCAAATATAAATTGATAATAATAAATGATTGTAAGCCATTTTGAGGTATGATGATATCTAGTGTGATTGCATTTGAGGGCATTAAAATGATTTGTATTGATAACTGTTTGTCGCATACATTTCTGAATCTAGCATATGAGATTTATGTTATAGGAAACATGGTATATACCTTTACTATGAATTGGTGACTTTAGGTTGTTACTTCCACCATTTGGTTGTTCATGCTTCATGTCCCACTCATTTGTCATTTATGCTTTGATTCCAGTAATTATTTGTTGAGTTTGATTTATCAAACTCATTCATTATCTTTTTCAACAAGTTCTACAAGTGTGTTTAGTGGACCGTCACCTTAGGAGCATGATTACTAGCAGCAGATTATTTTGATATTTATTATTTTATGGTGGTTGGTTATGTTTTTGTTTTCTAAGTGTTTGATAGTTTCTTTTCTGCATTTCGTTTTATTTATATTCTTTTGACTTGTACCAGGACTTTTGTTATTTTGATGTATTGATTATTTTAACTTTTATTAATGAATTGGCTTTTAATTCACTTCCTATGTTCACTTTGATGTATATATACCATATTGTCTCACTTATATGTTCATGCATGTTTCTCTTTGTGAATACAAAATAAGTGTTTTTATCTCTTAAATCACGTCCTGTGTTGCTAGGGTATACCACCTTCCGGACATGGGGGTGACATGTTCTCCCATCATTCCAACCAAACAAAACACTACACGCCACGTGGAGTAGCAAAGCTACGACGCCAAAATATGTAATTTTTTTGATGTGGTTCATAAACATTATTCTTTTCTTTCTTCATAGTGGTATAAAGATGATTTGAGCAATAAATTTATTACAATTCTCAAGTCTTAATAAATAAGAATTTTAATTATGTTTAACATAAATATATATTATATATTAAGAAGAATATCAAATAATATTTGCTGACACTTATAAGAATAAATAATATTTATATTTATGTTGTTCATTTAAATTTCATGAACTTCTTTTAATTAATATTTGAATACTAATTTGATTCTTATTTTTGATCAATTATATAAAAGCAAAAAAGTTGAATAGATACCTAAAACTAAAGAAGTTGACAATTTTTAAAAATTAGGCTTCGTTTGGAATAGCTTTTTCATTGATGTTTAAATCAGCTTTTTAATACAAAAATTTATAGTTTAAAAATTTTTTGTACTAAAAATTTTTCCGAATACTCATACTTTAATAGGTGAACCAAATCACTCAACTAAAATATGTTCTTTTTAATTATGATTTAAAAAAAAAATTGGCAAAGTCCAACAAGTAACCACCATTGGCATTCTTTATGAGGAGAAATTATTTTGTGCGGAGACCGAATAAAGAACGTCATTTGAAGACCAATCAGAATGCGTCACGTTAGCGGTATTGAACAGCTGTACTGAGCATTACTGAGCCATGGTACGAGCGAAATAGTGACATGGTGTATTCTCTTTTTTTGTTTTGGGAAAATTTGGGCAAAGCCCGTATATTAATTAACGGAGGTCACAAGTAAAGAAAGAAATGACTAAGGCCACATTTGGCTGGCTTGAAGAAGCCCAAAAAAAAAAAAAAAAAAGAAGAAGAAATGACAAGAAATTGGCTAAATGATAACAACAATTAGTGCAAAAGGCCAACCGAACATCAAAAAGAAATTCTCCCAACGTGCCTGGACTCAGAAATTTGTCATTAGCGTCTTGTTCCCCCGGTTGCCCCAAAGGCCGTCCACAGGGAGCCTGCATTTTGTACATCATACTCCAAGACATTACCCGCAGGCAAAGCCATGAGTGATAGCAACATTCAGCAAGCCAACAGGAATATCCGTCAAAACAAAGCCAACAGGGAACCAGAATTTTTCCATTTAAACACTTTCTCATAAACCGCCCTTTTAATAGCCAAAACAGTGGTAATGTGGTTGTGGGAAGAAGTGCTAAACCTTCTTTCATTACGCTCCTTCCAAATGAGGTAAATGGAACAGCAAGCAATGAGGAGGTAAAAATGCTTTTCAACCTTCGAATGAGAAAGAGAGGCATCAATCCAGTCAAGCAATTGATGAACATTAAGCCTTAGCAAAACCATCTGGCAGCAGGCAATAAATAGGTAATAATAGAAAATGAGTAGTTACATTCAAAAAACAGGTGAGACGTGGTTTCAAGATCAGCATGGCATAAACCGCATAAAGGAGGAACAGATATACTTCTTTTTAAGAGTTCATCAGCAGTTTTGAGGCCTCCAACCACAGCCATCCAGGTGCAAATCGAGTATCTCAATACAAATTTCTCATGCCATACCAAGTTAACACAGGGCAAAGCAGCATCCAAAGAGTAGTAACCAGAGTAATATTTACGAATTGAACCAATCACCTTACTATCCTAAAAGAAGGCAGGAATCAGTATTCTCATGAATACATAAATTAGAAATAAGATGCTTTAAGGAGGAGGGTAAAAATTCTGGAAGAGTCCAACATTTCCCAGAAATGAAATCTTTAAGAGGAGTATCCGCACATGTAACATTCAAGAAACTGGAACCTTCAGGAATCTCAGAGAGAGGAGAGTGATTACACCAATGATCCCAGTGTAACAAAATAGGGGCAGAGGCAGTAATCCTAAAAAAGAAATTAAGCTTTGCGGCTTGAGGAGTATCACATATAGCTTTCCAGTATTTAGAGTCTCTATTGTTAGGGGGGCGCCAAGGAAATTTATACCGAAGAAGAAGCCAAGCAGATAGCATAGAATTTCCATTGTACATTCTATCTATAATAGAACAGTTATACGCAAACTGTAAAAAACTCAAAGAAGGAATACCCAGGCCACCACATTCCTTCGGTTTACAAATTCTGTCCCAAGAAATCATATGTATCTTGCTCTTGATATCTAAATCTCCAAAGAGAAGAAACTTAGAAGAAGTTTTCTTAATAAATAGAAGATGTATTCTCATTGGTCTCGAGATGACATTCGAAATCAGCAAAAAATAATTAATCATTTATGAAAGTAGAGGATAAGGTTGGATTAGGTATTGCTCAAGTGCTTTTTTTTTTTTGGTCATTGAATGGAGCGCATGAACTGTCTTGTTTTTTTATTATTAATGAAGTTGAAAGCTACTTATGACTGTCAGCTTTCTGAGAGTTCAATAAAATGGCTCCATTAAATAATAACTGTGGCAAAAAGAATATTTTAAAAGAAGGCTGACAATAAAAATTAAAAAAGAAAACCCTAAATCATGTCAACTAAACCCTAAATTAAATACACTCTAACAAATGAGAATATAAGAAAAAAAAATGTCGAAGTAGCTCCAGTGATAGATAAGATTACAGAGAGATTTCTTAGATGGTTTCGTTATATAAAATGTCGACCTTATGATGATTTGATTAAAAGAATAGATATATTAGATTTATCCTATGTATAGAAAGATAGAGGTAGACCTAAAAAGACATAGCTAGAAGATATTAAGCAAAACATTTTTATTAGATTTAAATAAAAATTTGACTCTTAATAGGACACAATAGAGAAAAAAATTC